GGAAAACAGAAAACAAGGTTCACAAAGGTCTGGGATTATAATCAATGAAAATAAAATGTAAACTATCGTTTTATATAGATGTTTCACAATGATCATTTCAAACAGACTGCTCATAAACTCAGTGTTTACAATAAACTATGATGTCTCTTTGAGCTCTCAAAAGTGTAATGAATTACATTCTCCTTTTTCCTGGTTTTAAATTTAGGGGCTGGGGCTACATTATTAAAATAATAAATAACAATACATGCTAAGAAGTTATGGAAAAATATAAAGCATTTATTGCTTGATAGATTCTGTATAGTGCAATAAACCTCTCCTTTACTCTAGCATTAGGAGGAGATAATATATTCTAAAGAGGTTCATTTTTTAGAAAATGTATGCCTTTTATAGAAATCTTTAGAAAATGTAACTTTCTTGTTTTGGGCTGGGGTGAGGAAGATAGTATTGTAAAACAAAACAAAACCCACCATTCTGCATTCACGTTCACTTCCATGCCAATCCCTACTTTTGCTTTGACGGAATTATGGGGAAGCTGTGTAAGAAGATTAGTGATAGAAGAGGCAGTTACAATGAAAGGAATTTCTTCAGAACCCATTGCCTTTTCCTTGGATCCCCACTCTCAGGAAAACTCAATTCAACAGGTGCATTTCACTCCTAGGAATTTGGGCCTCCACACATTCCTGTATTGCTGCCTTAGGATACAGCCCCACTTTGTTTCCAACAGAGAACTATACCTCCAGGTCAACTGTAAACTAAGGTTCCCCACTACCACACTTCCTGTTCCTCATGTAGAATCATAAGGCCTCAGAATTCAGGAAAACACAAAACCTCACAGCATTCTTACCACAGGGCAGAATTCACTGAATCTGCCTTAATTGAATCAGATGTGTGTTGAACAGGGATGACAGCCATTACGGTTAGGTCCAAAAAAAAGAGGAGCCCGAAACTCATCCAAGAAAAAGAAATCACCCCAGCAAGTTTCCAGATGAGCCCAGTGCAAAGCCCGTGGCCAGGCTCAGTGAGACACAGAGGAGCCTTCCCAGCTGCTTTTCTAAAGAAGCTTGAACAGGCTTGGACCCTTTTTCCTTGTTGGCCAATATGAGTCTGGAACAGGGCCCTGAACCAGATGAAATATCTTGATCTTGCCAACTGCTTTCTTGGCTTTGAGCAGCTGTAGAAGCAGCTGGTTTTACAACACACAGAGTGAGCCCTTGTTCTGAAGTTCCGCATTTTGAGAAAAACTTAGAAGTTGGGGTTTTTATATAAAGCTACTTCATGAGCTTTAACCTGGTGTGATGGGTTGCTATTTATGCGTCTTGCAAATAACCAAATGATCTATAATACTTCTATCCAGGGGAAATCTTCCTGCGACTACAAAAGTCAAGTTTATCCAATTATTTTTGTTTCCAATCAGAAACTTAAGAGTCATGAGATAAGAAATCAATTATCCCTGAACCAGTATAATTAAAAATCAATTGAATTCCAGGAATCATAGATTGAATGTACGAATTTACTCCTGCTCCCTCCTGATATCCCAGTAGGGGGCTTTTTTTTTTTTTTAAGGTATAAAACCTCTAGGATAGTAAGAACATGAGAGGAGACAACATTAACAAAATTTCAGAAGCTGAAAAGTAGCAGAACTGAATCTTAAACTGGCAGTGCAGAAAGCCAAGACTAAGCCGATTTATACCACAGAATTCCCAAAAGGCCCTGGTGGCATTACTGGAAGTAGGTAACAATGGAAGGGCTAAAATAAAGAGGATCTGTTTAACTTATTTTAAGAAACAGCTAGATTTCCAGACCAGGCACCTACTCCATAAAGCTGAGTGACTGCACCACTCCTACCCTGGGAAAAGATACGTATCTCAAGATACATTCTCTGGAAAGTATAAAATATAAGTTTCTGGCAAGAGACTCAGTACAACTTGTGAGGAGGGGGTACTAGGACTGGGTGAACACATGTACTCTGAGATAGTTACCCCAACCCTTTTCCACCACTTGGTTTCCAGAAAGATGCAATGCCCAGGCCCCCCAGGCAGGTGACTGGAAGATCTCTGGGTATCTGAACAGCCAAAGAGAAACTGACCCTGGTGGTTCCACAAGTAAAGAGTCATTAACAACCTCAGGTAAAGCCATTGCCAACAAGCCCCACTAACGTGTACCAGCTTGAATTAACTTTGTCCTTCCTCCCTACTCTTAATTAGAGCAAACAAAGAAGGACAACTTGACATCTGAGGAAAGATTCTAAAATGAAAGAGTCCAAAACAAACAAAAATGTCAATTTGTACCACAGGAATACAATCAGCAGAATTTGAATTGTTCGAACTATATGACAAATGGCCTAGTTTCTTCAACAAATAAATTGCACAGAAAAAGGGGAAAGAGAAATGCGGGAACCTATAGATTAAGAGACTTAAAACACATATCAACCAACTGCACTATATGGACCTTATTTGAGTATTGATTTGAACAATCCAAATTGTTTTTTAAAAATGAGATAATCAAAGCAATTTAAAAATTAGTTGGCTGTTTGATGATACTTAGAAACTGTTGTTAATTTTTTAGGTATGACATATGGTTTTTTTTAACAGTCCTTATATTTTAGAGAAATATATTGAAATATTTATGGATGAAATTACATGAGAGCTGGGATTTGCTTCAAGGCAGTCTAGGTGAGGGGACTAACTAAATAAGCCTGGCCATGGGATAAAGGAAACATGGAAATCTTTTATAATATTATCTTTACTATTTGTTTGAAATTTTCCATAACAAAGACAAAATAATATAAAAAGGAACAAAGAATTTTTAAAAGCTTCTGTAAATAAACAATAACAGAAATAAAACATTCAATAAATAGTTGAAGAAAAAAAGTAAGGACACATCCTAGAAGACACAGTGAAAAATTATAGACATGAAAATAAAGAAAAAAATAAAAATTAGAGAACTAGTCCAGAATGTTTAAAATCTTGGTAATAGTTCTAGGAAGAGTGAAAAGGGAAAGAGGAAATAGGAATTTATCAACACAATAATGTAAGAAAATGTCCCAAAACTGAAGACCATGAATTTCTAAATGAAAAGAATGCAGCAAATTCTTGACTCGATGAAATAGGCTTACATCAAGACACATCATTGGAAACTGCAGGACATTGGAGCAGAGATTTGACACGTTTCTAGAAAAAGTAAAACAAAAACCAAAAACCCTGACTATATTTGAAAGATCAGGAATCAGAAGCATATAGGACTTCACAACAGAAAACACTGGAAAGCAATGAAGTAATGACTTCAAAATTCTGAAGTAAAATTATTGCCAATTTAGAGTTTCTATATCCAACCAAACTATCAATCAAAGGTGAAGGTGGAATAAAAACATTGTGAAGGTCTCAAACATTTTATTTCTATTCATCGTTTCTCAACAACAGAAGGAAGTAAATACAGAAAAAGGAAGAAGTGGAATACAAGAAACAAGGGGTTTACCAGAGAATAGAGGTGAAGGGAATTCCCAGAGTAGTGATAAAGATTTCAAAAAAAATTTTACTTTCTGTGTTTCAGTTCCCTTATCTGTGAAACAGGGGGCTAACAATAGTATCTGTCTCATAGACTTATAAAGATTCAGCATAAAACAGAATAGTATCTGACTAAAATAAGAGCTACCAGAGTGTTATCATTATCAAAGTTAACTCTACCCTATGTTAACATATAACTGCTTGACATATTACAATAACTAAAAAAAAAAAGAAAGAAATCAATGTAAAACACATTTCTGAACTGAACATATTTCCAGCTTTGGAATGACTAAAAATAGTCACAGAACCATAGGATTTTGGAGGTTGGCAGGGTTCTGAGATTTTTCTAGTGCAATTTTCTTGTTTTAAAGGGTAGGAAATTGAAGTTCAGAGTGCCTAACTCACTTAAGTCTACATAGGCATTTAGAAGAGGAGTTGGACTGGCAGTCAGGTGTTTCATGTCAACACACTGAAAATCAGAGTGCCGCTATCCTCAGAGTGTCAGAGCTTCACACATACCAAAAAAATCACAGTAGAAATATTTTGTCCAATTCAGTGACTTTCCCTAAAACCTGGCACTTGGCTCAATATATCCATAAGCAGAAAGGCCACATAGAAAGATCTGCTCCGGGCAAGAAAGCTACAGTTGGGTTTACTACTGAGTTAAGGTTGACAATAAGGAAGAAATGGTATTGAATTCACTGCACAGGAAGGATACCTCTGGTGGGTTTACACACAAAAGTGAGAATATTAATCCCTAGTGCTCTGGACTGATATGAGGCAGCGTGGATGGGCGCTGCCCTATCAGGCAAAGTACCACTAATACGCCTTTGAGGTTTGGGAGAGGGAGACTTTTCCTGGTGGAAATTCTATGATCTGTCTTCATCTTGTTTCAACTGAAAATAAGCCCTCTGTACAATGGCACAAAGTCCCACTCAACAGTTTGAGATGAACTTATTTTAAAAGAAAACTGCCCATTTGCTTTTCACTGAATCTCAGAGGAAAAGTACATGCTAATTTATCTTCTTTAAAACACCGGCAACTTCTATGCTTCTTGAATATTTATTACAAACAAATTTGTAATTACTTTTGGATATAGTAAATGTTCCAAAGTAATCCAAATACTACAGTGGTGACCAGTTGCATTATACACCTCTTAATATTTTGACCATTTAGCTAACATTTAAAGTGACAGGTAAAGAGTTCAAAAATAGAATAAAATGCTGTTTTCAAATCTTTTCTTTTTATAAATGCCTATCTTGGTATTTTTAATTAACAAGATTTTCTCCTTCCACTTTCTTATAAACATTAGGTGCATCTTGGGAAATCACTCAAATAAACAATACAAAAGTATACACCGGTAACTTAGCTACGTTAGTGAAAACATAAAAAGAAATAAAACCTATTTAGAAATATTTCCAATTTCTTCTGTGTTTGAACAGAAACATACAGAAAACACAGTTTAAAATTGAAAAATACCACAATGTCAATACTCACAGAAAAAGTAGGATCCCAGTGTTTGCCAGGGCAAAGGCGAGTCCCAAAATCCCACTGCCCATAATGGCGTTGCTTAGGTTAAAAACAGACATGCCTAAGGAGGTTGTTCCTGGAATCTGAACAAAGAGACAAACATTCACACTAAGCAAAACAGTCCCTAAATCTGTTCATCACACCAAAGCCTTTAAACACTATTAGAAACCAACACCAATTAAATTCAAGAAATCCTTCCTTCGTGGTTTATTTTTTTAATGGATTTCCAGAGAAAATACGTACTATCTGAGGAATATTCTGGTAAATAGAGATAGCTATGCCTTTGGTACTATGCTGCATGAATTAAAAACATCTGTCCCAATTTATGTGATTAAAAAAATAAGCATACTTATTATAATGACACTTACATATTCATCACATTTCTTTTTTTCCAAATGGCTGTTTGTGAGACTTCTTCTACTTTCACGATCAGAAATAAATTTGCTGTAAAGACATGTATAATACATTTAACTTCGTGGTAATAATTCGAAGCTAAACATTTTATCTAAGTGGTTGATTACTTACCAAAACATATTACGCATGAAAAGCTATCAGATTCCAATCATTTCAATACTAATAAATTAAAACACTATATGCAATGTAAATTAACTTTTATGTAGATTTTTCTCTAACTACAAGATAATGTTAAAAATACTATAAAGCTGTCATGTGAAAGAATCTCGGAGGCAGGATTCCTTCTGAGCTCACATTCCTGGAGTACAAAAGTATTAAATAGGAATTCCCTCCCCCCTGCAAAAAAGGAAACAACTCTTTTCCCTTCAAATTTTCCTTCAGCATGTGCTACATGCAAGTGACCAGACAAGGTGATGAGGGAGACATGAGGGTATGTAATACAAGACGCAGACACTAAGCTATCAGAGTTCAGAAGAAGAAACTGTGGTCAGGGAGGCAGGGCATTAGGCCATGGTTAGGGGCAGAGCTAGAGCTTTGAGAAAAGCATGGGATTTAGAATGTGAGTTTGAATCCTCACTAGCTATGAGGGCCTGGGCATGCTACCACAGTTTCCTCTGAAATTAGAGTAACACTATTAAATTATCTCATGGTGTTATTGGGAGAATTAAATCATTAGTATAGCCCCAGGCACAGAGTAAGAGCAACACGTCAATCATTCCTGTCCATGGAGGGCATGGGGGTTGAGTTGGGATGGGAGATTCAGACAGGCTAAGTGGAGTAAACTATCTGCAACTACATACAAGAAGGAATTCAGAATGCCCTCGGAACCATATTCAGAATTAACATCACAACTTTATGGCCTAAATTTCTAATTTTTAAAAAATTCATCATTAAAAAAATAAGTGGTATTGTCAAAGAAAAGTCCATTTGTTGGCAAACGGCTGCTTGTATTAGTAAAACATGTTAGGCATGCTTTTTAGCTCTTCCAGACATTTAATTATCTGGCCTTAGTAAGAACTAATCATAGTAAGTTTTTCACTAATGAATGTAAAGCCACTTGAACGGAACTATTTTAAAGAAGCATATTTCTTTAAACTGTACAGTATATTTTCATACTCTTTTTTTTTTTGAATAATGCTGTTTCACGATAAACCATTTTCAATGAAAAATATGAGTCATCAATGTTGGCTTTATTTACCTATCTTTTTCATCTTTAATCCAAGGGGTCTGGCTTCTCCCTGGCTTTACTTCTCCAAGTTTGCATTATTTTTGCCAAGATAAACCAAAGACAGGCAGTAGGTGTGTACTACACACTTCCTCTGAGATCATCACCTGGTATAAGCAGCACAATCTGCGGTTTATTCCCTTTGGCATCTGCCTTTGCCTAAGACCTGGCCAGTTACTGTGAGAGTTCAAAAGGAAGGGGAAGAAAACCTTGGTCTCTGAAACAGGAGAGACCACGTCAGCTAACACCAGAATAGGAATGTCAGGCTGTGCAAAACTGAGATAAGATAAAAAATCCAGGGAAGGAAAAACCATTATTGGGAGGATTAGCCAGAGGAAACTTAAGGCAGAGGCCTGAGAAATAGCATTACAGGAGAAAGACATAATGAAAGCAGTATCTTTGGAGACCAGTCTGGCAGCTGTGGAGCATTCGGCCCTCCTTTTGCCCTTAAGGTTTTAGATCCTTCTACAGAACTGAGGTTTACAGGTCCGGCTAGAGAGGGGCAAGGAAAAGCAGCCTTCCATTTCACATAGGCTGTGGGTGCTGGACTTACAAAATTAAATTAATTTCCAAAATAAAATTGCCATTAAATAAAAGACTGCATTGAATCAGGCTAATTTTAATAATCAACTCAAGCCTATCAAATCTTTATCCAAAAGGTCCCCCATTTGCCTTTCTTGTGTAGGGACATCTTTTCCAAAGAGAATTTCCATTATTTCTGACTTAAGAGCCTGAACGTTTTCAAACAAACTGAGCAAAACACCAGCAAACTGTCTGTGGCCGATCTAAGTTCCCTGCCTGGCCACACGCCCCAGAGTTGGTGGCAGAGGACTGGTGGGCAGAAAAGAAAGGGATACAGGCACTGTAGCACAAGAGGCATTCGGTAGGGTCAAGCACTGGGCAACAAGAGGGGAGGCGGAATAAGGCCCTGGCATGGCTGCCGGCGGTTCCTGCAGAGCTTCTGCAGGGTGGGGATGGTGAAACTGACTCACAGAGCTGCTGGAATGAGTAACCATTGAAAAGCACACTGAAACACATTGTGTGTCAACAGCCTCCCTGATTCTGCCTTTTCTGGTGTACTTTCTGCAGCAAGGCTTAATAGGTTTTCCCAAAACTCTTCACTGGCTCTCCTACTGAGAATATTATAAATTCCTCACCCTGCAATTCCAGCTACTGCTGAATCTGACTCTGCCTCCGTGTCCCAATCTCAGCTCCCCCTTCTCCTCAAAATGATCTTCCCAAGAGGGGGTAAGGGCTGACACAAGATCATAGCAGTCTGAGAGCAGGGATGGAAAAACAAAGCAGCAGAGGGAACCCACCTCCATGCGGGAGTCCCTCAATTCTCTTCTCAGCCAGCACCTTCCTGCCAGTCCAAAGCTTCATCTTCCATAAGTCTTCTGATACCCCGGTTTGAACTGAGTTTTCTGACTCTGACCTACTTACTATCTTTCCTGTGGCACATACTGTGCTACTGAACTCATCTCACATCCATAGTGGTTGTACAGCGCTCTCAGTCCCTCAGCTCCTTCTTAAATGTACCTGCCCTTGCATTAGCAACTCACAGGAACCCTTCATAAACCAAATATACATCTTCTATTTAGGAATCAGGGAGTAGCTTAGGCTGCAGGGAAGTTGAGCTCAGTAAGAATGAAGTACTTAAAGAAATCCTCTTCATTCTCTTTATGATGTTTCCATTTTTTCTTCTCCTTAGTCTTTAAGTCTTTGTATTTCCGTAAACTTTTTCTTAAACAAAATAAAACCAACCTTTTTAGTAATGGAAAAGTCCATTCAAAATAAGTAGGTCAAGCAGCTTATCACAAGTTCCTGCTATCTTACCATTTAAAAAATGCAATTGTGTGTTAAAAAGCATTGACCCTTGGCAAAGAAAATGAGTTAAAATTTCTCTTTATTCACTTAAAAATGCACTATGGGAGAAGGTGACTTTGACATGTAGTCTTGGAATGATAAAAGTATCATTAAAAAAGACTTTTCACTGGGTTGGTCTGTACCCATAAAGAAGAATTCAATCAACTATTAGGTAGCCAATTGTTCTGAGAACAAAACCAAACAAAAACATCACAGTGGCTGTCATGGTGACCTTCAAAAAACAAAGCCACAAACAGGAGCAGGCATTATACTGAAGTGGTGTGAAGGGAGACTGAGCAACAGTTACTTAAAACCAAAAATAAATCAGCACCTACAGTTGAACAAGGGTGGGCTGTACAATAGGAAAATGATCTTCCTATTTTAATCTCTACCCATCAGATTATTGCTAGATTATAGTGTTTCACTTGAGGATTCATAACACAGAAGAGATAAATGGTTGAACTTAGATGACTTTTCCAACTTCTTTCCCTGAAATTCTAACATTCTATGAACTAGAAAAAGAGAACAGAAGGAAAGAAGCAAGTAACAAAGCAGCTGGAGAACATGAAAGAATTCAAGAAACAGCAGGCATTTAAAGAGAAGGGTGAGAGGTAAGCAAAGACTTACTTGGCAAATAAACTCTACTGAAAATAGCAGAAATCCAGACTTTAATTGTAACAGGAGCTCTTAAAGCAAGGAAAGAATTTTCTGATGTAAAAACTGACCATAGGAAGAAGGGATAGAGCCTTTTTCTTTAAGAAAAAAAAAATCAGAAGAAGAGAAGGGATAACTTTTCAAGGATCCTCCCAAGTCATATAAATTTAGTATATGAACTCTGAAGGATATACAGGGACCCCAAAAAAATGCTGATGTAGGGTGTAGTGATAAGAGTTGCCCCAAATTCTTTTAAGAAAAATTTTAACCAGGGACTCTCAAACTTTGTTAGATGCTGCCTGGGTCATGACAACAATAACTATGCATAGAGATGCGAATAGTAAATAAATATTAAAATATCTGAATACTTGCCTCCATACAGCTTTAAAGTAACAACAGTCTGCAATCATCCAAAACCTAAAGCAATATTATTATTCCTTGGGGTAGACAAGAAAGAGTGCTTGCAAAGAAAGAGGAAGCACTTTTACTGATAAAGACTCATCTCACTCTAAAAGGCTTACTATTTGCCAGACACTGTGCCAAGTACTTTACATGGATCTCATTTATTTTCACAATTACTGCATATGGTCGGTACTATTATTAGCTCTATTTTAGAGAAATTAAGTAACTTGACCAAAGTAACATTACTAATAACTAAACCGTTGAGCCAGGATTTGAACCTAAGCTGGCCAACTGCAGAGCCTGAGTTCTTAACCTACAAACAGTAATATGTTTCATATTCCCCAACACTCCCATGAGGTAAGGTATTATTACTATCCCTGTCTTATAGGGATGGAACTGAAGCTCAAAGCACAAGATCACACAAGACCTATTGAAAGAGCCAGAATTCAGTACAAGTCTAAATTCAAACCACTTAACTGCTCGCTCTCTCTGTTCTGTGTCCGTCTCTGTTTTTCTCTCTCATTTAACAAATATTTTATAATGTCCATTCTGTACCAGGCACTATTACCTATCATTTCAAGGTACAAGTGATATAAAGATGATTAAGATGATTACTTTTCTTAAGCTCACATCTAGAGGAAGAGTCTAGCACTTGCTACTCAAAGTGTGGTCCATGGACCAGCAATATGGGTATTACCTGGAAGCTTGCTAGCAATTAGAATCTCGGGCCCCATCCCAGACCTACTGAATCAGAATCTGCATTTTAGCAAGGTTTCCAGATGTTTCATATACACATTAAAATGGACCTTTTGAAAGGTTTTGCTGTTCCAGGTACAGATTTCTGACTATAACCCAAAAATTAGGGCATGAAATAGAACAATTGAACTGGAATAGAGGCAGGTGTTCTAATGCCCAAATGGCTCTTCTCTATTTTTACCTAAACTTTAAAAATTGATTCTTATTGTCCTAATGGGGAGTCTGCAGGCAAAGCTATAAGCTAGATGCCCGGTAATGAGAGATCAACATTTGTTTTCAACATTTTCTCTAGCTTCTGAAAAAAAAGAGAAACTATTACATAGAAGTTCACCGTTCCGGGGGCTGGTTCTCTTAGATGCATATAACTGGGCCTACCTTCCTCCCACCAATGTGAAAAGGCTGCAAGAAAAATGAGAAGTACTTAGGTGTAGCTTTTGCAGCAATCACAGTGAAGATCTATTCTGATTTTTATTTACGTTTCTGGTTTCATGCCATAATATGTTGTTTTTAATTTTTTTTACTTGCCCTAGAGCCAAAAACAAAGCGAGGTTCATGAACTGTGTCAGTGAAAGAGGGGAGGTAAGATAAATGAAGAAATAAATGCATCACCCAACATTTGCAATAAAGGAATCAAACTCTGCAAAACAAGCGGTCAACACCAACAGTGAACCCACTGTACCCAGCTCAAGGTCTTAGTCATAGTCTCGGGGAAATGAGCTCACTGGGCAAGGTGCCCAAGTGTCCAAGTCATGGGTGAGAATGGGTACTTCCAGCTACTGCAAGTGGTCTTCACCTCAAAAACTTAATACCTTTATTAAATAAAACTTTTTTTTATAGTCCACTCTGGAGAGGGTTTATAATCTAGTAATCATGCAAAATAAGGCATAGTGCATTTATTTTGTTAACCTATTTTCAGAGAGTTTAAATAGCAGTCAGGCAGAGTAAGCTGGAAAAGAATGCTTAAGCTGAGAGTGGTTGATTCCAGTTAGAGCCTGTTAGATGCTTGGTTTATCTTAAAAATAAGGAAACCACAAGTTCTTTTTTTTAATTTTTTTATTGTTTACACTATTACAGGTGTCCCCCATTGCCCCCCCCCATT